TAGCAGGGAGTGGGGAGGGGAGCAGAGGGAAGCCAGGCAGATGCCTGCAGTCTCTGCTGAGCTCCAGCCAGGGAGCAGAGGGGAGGGGCCAGCTCTGAGGGGAGCCCTGCCCAGCCCAGCCCAGAGAGCTTGCTGGGATGCTGGGGGAGTCTGGTTTATCTTAAACCAGCAAGGGGTCTGGGACAGATGTTGCACAAACCAGTTTGAGCCAAATCAGTGAAGTTTGATCACTTAAATCAGCCTATGTGTAATGTCTCTCCCTATCCTTAAAGTCATAAGACTTTAAGTGGCCAGACACTGTACATCTGGGAATTCTTTTAAGAATAATTAATTTCTGGGAAAAGGACAGGTTAACTCCGAAGAAGCAAAATACATGCCGTTGTGTCAGTTGATTGCTGCTGTAATCAATGCATATAAAACCTCCTGCCTTGGATTGCTGTTTTCTGCTCAGACAGACTGACTGGCTATTGCCCAGATTCCATGGTGATAGCTGCAGTATAAGCACCTGCATAGTCTGTGCTAACAGTAGAATAAGGACTCAGAGGCATGGCAGGTGGCCCGCAGTGTGACAGAAGCAGCTGTAAGTGTGTGAAATATCTTGCTTGTGCATGAGGTTCTGCCAGATGGCAGCTCCATAGAGTTATCAAAAGGGCAGTAACTTCGAATGGAGAATAGTAGGTAGGGAAGATAGATGGTATCAGACATCTATGTCAGAGGTTAGTGTTGGGCCCCGTATCTCTTTTGCCTTTGGCATCCTCACTTGTTCTAACTGCTGCTGCCCATTAAAGGTTTTCAAAGGATAATTAGTCTCTTTGTTTGTCATTACAGAAGTGATACTGAAGGTCCATGTAAGTGATGCCACCACACATCAGCCAGTAACCGAAGCCTTTATCGAGATTTTTAGCAACCAGATTTCCATTGCCTCTGGAACCTCAGGAGCAGATGGCACTGCCTTCATCAAGTTTCAGTATAAGCTGGGCAATCAGCTGTTTGTTACTGCTAGTAAACATGCTTACGTGCCAAATTCTGCACCATGGAAACCTATAAGATTGCCTGGTAAGAGATCTTTATTTTTGTTCTGAGGTAAGATTTTGCATCTAAAGGAAGTTACACAGTTTTGTATGTTTTTGTATGTTTAATGCTAATGGTTGCAGTCCTGGGTGGCTGTTGGGGAAAAATATATGGGTAATTTGATAAACATAGTGATTGCCCTGATTGCTCACCAGTGTGAAATCGTTTCTTTTTGTGGATTTCAGTCTACTCTTGAATCTCTTTGATGTGATGCGGAAAACATTTAACCCAGTTAACACTAGCTTTTTAAAACTTTTTATCATTTCTGCAGTCCACCTTCTGTAGAAAATAAGAAATATAGTTAACAAGTTTTCTGTATGGCAGCTCTATTTTGCAGTGTGCTATTTTGGCAGCTGCATTGTACCAGTACATTTTCCCCCTAGACTTTGACAGTAGTCCTTTTTTCTTCAGTTCTGTCCCATGTCCAGCTATAGTCTTCTAGACAGGTGCAAAAATGCCTGGTAGCATCTTGACACAATCACTTTTTCCAACATGACAGATTCACATATATTTCAGAGAGAAGTATTATAATTGTTAATGTAAATGTCACTACATTCTGTGGAAGTTGGGAATTGTTGTATTATCGCCATGTTCCAGAGGAAGAAACTCAGTTGCAGAGAGGTTAAGTGAGTTGTCCAAAGTCAGACAGAAAATCTCTGACAGACCTGGGACTAGAACCTCGTCTTCAGATTATTAGTCTTCTGCTTTCCCCACAGCAATATGCTGTTTGCTTACCTACCTTAATTTGCTTTTAAAAAAAAGGTTGGTCTCTTCCAAAACTAGAAACTTCTTTGACTTTCTCCTTTAGTTTTAGCAATCATTCAAGTGGCAGCTTCCTTAGTATTCTTTCCATATTTCTGAGAGCCTTAACTAATATATAAGTGCATCCAGTGGCACCAGCCTTACAATCACTTACCTATCTTTAGAATACAGCTTTACTTGCATAAAAAACCAAAAATCTAGGACTCTTCGTTCAGAGATGATAGCTTTTATTGGGCCAACTGAGAAACTGCAAAAAAAAAAAAAAATCTTTTTTCTGCAAGCTTTCCAGTTCACGTGCCCTTCATCAGGCTCAGGGAAAGTTGAAGATGGTAAAAAGTTCCTATATGTAGGAAATAAACTTCATTTTTGCACAGAGGAAGCAGAAGCTGGAAATCTGTTCCTCTGGGTCCATGAGAGTGTCTTTGTGGGGCTGCTCTTTGTTGTGCAGATCAAGCAGGATTCCTTCCCTGTTGGTGTCAGATGGCAGGCAGGGAGGTGTAGAAATCTTTCTTGTTCAGCAATGAAGTTTATAATCCAAAATCTTTACTTACGTGACATTTTTCAGCTATTGACTTTGAGGGAAGAGAATCAAATGTGGTGCTATTGTTTTGGTAAGTCGATGAAATTGGTTGAGCTGTAACTATATGTACAAGTTTCAACCAGGCCTCTCTCTTGGAAGATGAAATAAGATCACATTTCAGGAAAAAAAAAATGTTTGGCCTTCTATCATTCCCCTATAGAAATCAAGAGGCATTTTTCCATTGACTTCAGTAGGACCGAAATCCACTTTTTTGTTATCTTTACCTGGAACTTAATACCTTTCCTGATTAAATATCTGCAACAAAGACATTCAAAAGCAGATTCAGAAATGCAAATTCAGAATACCTATTCCTTGATGTACTCTCTTAAAAGAGACGTTGTTCAGTAATTTAGGCTCCAAATATTGAGGTTTGGGGGGAAAGGATTTTTTTTACAAAACTTTTTAATGTTTTATATGTCTATATACGTGTATTTAAACATTTATCAGTGGTGTTTACAACACAAATGGTGCAGGATCGTCAGTTCATAAGAACCAGGAAGTGAGGAATACTACAAACAAAAACAGGAGTTTGGTCCAAGCTGAATAAAATACTGAAAGTAAAAGAGCAGAACATACAAGTTTAGTTTCTGCAGTGAACTCTACCAATGCATACTCCTGCGTCTGCAAGAGGTTCATGCAGGAATGGATATGGTCCAGGATTTATTGTCTATTTGCTTTTCTTCACAGACCAGATACATCATTTCAGGCAGCAGTATAGTGGGCTTATCATGTATTGCAAAAAGCATGCCTGGTAAAGCCACATACTAAGAAGCGGTATAACCACTGATTTTGTGATGCTGCTGTAAGAGCATAAGAGCAATCATGGTCTTTTCCCCCCCTCTAATCTGGGTATAATTTAACTTTGTCTAAGTAGCAACTGAATTCCAGGACTTTACTGCTTAATCAGTCAGTCCTTCTGTTTCAATTAAATTAGCTGCAAGGAAGAATATATGAAAAATATTTTTTTAAAAAGAACTGTGAACAGAATAATGACTCTCTAATTAACAGTTCATTTCTTGAACATTGTTTGAACTACTACTAAACAAATAATGGAAGATATTCTTGGCTGTCTAGGCATTGTTATCTTTATGTAAATCGGTGCTTTTTAATGATCTTGTAAATTGTCCTGAACATGAAAAGTATTGTGTGATAAAGTGCTATGTGTAATGCAGCCTTCTGCCTGCTGACCTATTTTAAAGACCAAAATTTCTGTCTCCTTCTAGTAGGAATCCACTAATGGTGGAGATTCAAAATTAAGGGAAAAGTCTCTTCTTTTGACATGTCTTCACTTCTTTTTCTCATAAGTTCCCAAACAACTAATTTTTATTCTAGGCCATTTGTATGAAGAAATATTAATGGTATTCACCCCTTGGCAAAAAACCCCCAGGGCTGGCAGAGTTAAAAATGATAAAAAGGAGCTTAAGCATATGAAGAATTAAAGTATGGCATTAAAAAGGACATTAATTAGTTTACTAGATGGACATGATGGAATTGCCTGTAATAATAAAAAAAAGGCAGAAATGCTTAAGGAATCTGTTATGCATTTGAGGATAAAAACAGATGATGTATTCTAATGACATGATGATGAAATACTTTCCTTGCCAAAAGTTATTCAGGATGATGTTAAACAGCAACAACTACAGCTAGACACTTTTAAATGGGCAGGTCCAGGTAACTGGCTTTCAAGAGTTTTAGAAGAACTGGTTGAGGATGTCTCTGGGTCCAAGCGTCTCTTCTGAGCTAAACTGGGTACCTATATATTTATCAATCTAATGTGGTCCCTGGGCAAAATAATGGAATGAATGATACAGAATTTGATTAGTAAAACAGTAAAGCAGGGGAACATGTCTGGGATGGGTAGGTCGCAGGCAATTCTTACCAAATTAACTTGGGTCCCCACTACCTGGTGCAGTTATCGCACAACTGGCTTGTAAATTGTACAACTAAATGAAACCAGCTACACATGCAAAGTACCCGTCATGCTATAAAATTGTCCAAACAGCTGTAAAGTTAGACCTCAAAAAATGGGTACTAGCTTTATAGCTGGTTGGTCTCCAGCTTTAATTTACATGTGTAGCAGGGTCTCCCCTGCAGCTGGAGATGACCGTGGAGTATACCATTGAGTACACCATGTTCAGCTGAGGCTGGGAGTCCCACAACTGAGGGGACCTCATCCCCAGCTGCTGCCCACTAGGATCTGGCAGCACCCTACAGCTCCTGGGACCCAGAGTCCCGCAGCTCCAAATGTTGGTTCCCAGCAGTGTACCTCCCATTGCTGGGACCCAGGCAGGGGTATGTGGAGCCCTTGGGGCTGGGAGATTGCATCTGCCTGTGTCTCCCAGGCCTGGTATTGCGCTGAGCCCCTGTGCCTGGGAGATCACAGCAGCTGCATCTCCCAGTCACAGAGGTATGTGGGGCACCACTGCAGCTAGGAGCCCCTCAGCTGAAGGGGTTCCCAGCTGCAGGAGCATGCTTCTAGCCAGTGCAGAGGGAGCCCAGGATCAGGCTTCTCCTACACCGGCAATAAGGTGCGATCGGATCTAATGTGCAATTCCATGATCACACATCTTGCCAAGCACATGTAGTATGGCTGGAGGTGCGATTGTATGAACGGCACATTAGATCCCATTGTGCCTTTACCTGTATGCATAAAGGGACCCTTAATATCTTTTTCTGACAGACTTACTAGTTTAGTTGATTAGTCATAATGCTGATAATGTACATAGATTTTTGTAAGGCATTTGAGTTGGCAATTTTCAATATCTTGAGCAACAAAGATGATTTTCTATCACAGAAATACACATTAAAAAGAGCTAAATGATATGTCTCCTTGTAACAGAAGTTAGGAATCACTAGATGTCTAGTGGGGTTCTACAAGGTCAGTTCTTAGTCCTTCATTTTTTAACATTTTTGCCAGTGCCTGGGCAGAAAACATAAAATCATTACTGGTGAAGGTTGTGGATGAGACAAGGCTTAGGAGAGTGGTAAATGATAAGGTAGATGGGTCACTGCGCAAGGAATCTGAATTGTTTGCTAAATTCACTGAAGCCAAACAGTTGAGTTTGTAATGGGTATGGACCTGGGAATGAAAAATGATGGCCACACGTACAGGCAATGGAACTCTTATCCTAGAAAGTACGTCTCTGGGATTATTGGATGTAATTAGTGGAATAGAACAGAATTTGAAAGTGGAGAGCTCCTCAGTCCAGCAGACAAATGTATAAGAAGAAACAGTGGCTGGAATAATTAAAAGATAAAGCACAATTTTTTAATGTACAAGGGCTGTTCAAAAAGTATCAAGAATGATGCTGTAGGAAACAAAATATTTTATTTACAGGGGTTTCGGCTTAATCTCCTTCGAAGTATGCTCCTTCTGCAGCCCCACACTTCTCCCAACGTTTCTGCCATTGTTGGAAGCACCTCTGATAAGCAATTTGTGGAATCACTAAAAGCTGCTCACTTGCATTTCATTTTATGGTTTTCATATCACAAAACCTTTTTCCTTTCAAGGCTTTCTTTAGTTGAGGGAAGATAAAAAAGTTGCATGGGACCAAATCATTTGAATATGGAGGCTGTGGCACTTGTGGGATACAGCGTTTGGCTAAAATTTGACAAAAAATTGCTTCACAAGCTGTGCTGAGTGGGCAGGTGTGTTGTCGTGGTGAAGCATCCAGGAGTCAGACACACACTTTTCTGGTCATTTTTCTGGTCATTTCATTCCCAAATCACCAGTTAGAATTGAATGACATGAACCAACAGAAATTCCAGCTTCTTCTGCTATCTCTTGGCCAGTCAGTCACCTATCATTTAGAACCAAACTGCGAACTGCCGCCACATTTAATCATGTTGTGATGTTGAAGTGCATCCAGAACACTCATCACTTTCGATAGATGATCATCCTTCTTTAAACCAATGATACTATTCAAAAACTCTTGCATGGCTCATAGTGTCAGCACCAAATGCTATTTTAAGTAATTCAAATGTTTCACTTACCGTTTGCCCCATATTCAGGCAAAATTTAATGCACATGCACGGTTCTGGGTACTCTGACATAATGAAAGGGGACGCAAGACACAAATGATCTTACTTCAACCGCTGGCCACAGAAAACTGGAGAAACACCAGGAGCTGCAAACCTGTCCAGAGGAGTCCCAACACGCTCAGATGTGTTCAGCAAAGCCACACCCCCCACCCAATACTTTGTACCACAAATACACGTTTAGTCTCGATACTTTTTGAACAGACATTGTATTGTGTAATTAGGCATGGGAACAACTTACTAAGGGTCATAGTAAATTTTCCATCACTGGCTATTAAGCATAATTACAAGGCATTCTTTTTAGAAAAGTATCCACTCTAGTTCAAGCACAACTGTTTCACTGGAAGATTATATTAATACAGGAAAATCCTCTGACCTGTGTTACAAATGATCATAAAAATCTTTTCTGCCCCCAAAATCTATTACTCCCTGAATTTGTCACATTGAGTAATGATTATGCAAAAAGCACAAAAGAAGTTCAAAGGCTATTCATGTATTGTGGCCCAGCGTGCAATAGAAAAAACATTGGCATGTATTCTTGTATTCAGCTCCCTAGGGTGCTTGAATTACATTGGCTTTCACTCCTACAAATTAAATTACTAAGTAAAAACAAACAGTTTTTGTAACTGAACCCTTTAACACTACCTGTTATTTAGCTGTTTCACTGTGTTCCCTGGGCTAAAATTCTAGTTTGATATGCAGAATATTAAAAAGTAAATTCTTTTATAAAATAGCTATAGTTTAAGTAATTATTGTGTGATTTATTAATGCTCACATGAGCTCATGGGGAATTTTTAAGTTGATATTTGTTAAACTGACACTATCTATATATTTCTGCTAATTTAAAATAAAATTACTGCTCTTTAAAAAGTGCATGAGTGACTTGGAATGGATATCTAGAGTCCAGATTTCTGATTTGTTACTATAAAGTTTTTAGGGGAATAATTCAGGCGGAGTTTTCCAAAGCACGTAAACATTTAAGGGGTCTTTGCTTTTGAAAATCTCTTCCTCAGATTGTGATAGCTCCAAAATGTGTTAGGCACTTTCCAAACAGATGCACACATTCCCTGGCCTAAAAAATATTCAGTCTACGTGGAATTTCCTACTCTTTCTCTCTCCTCCTCCCCTCTTCTTCTGGCAGTCATGGAGTGGATGGAGAACTGCTCCTTATCGTTGTCATGATGTCAGGGCTGAAGTATGCTAAGTAGCTATGGTACATATCCCTGGTTCCCTAGGCAGAAGGGATTGGCATGCAGGATATACTTTCCCTGCCCTTCCCCTCTCCCTCCACCCCCACTTCCCCTCCAGCATAGTGGGTATAGATCCTGTGCAGCAGACTCCCTGCATATTACCCCTTTTCCATACTATATTCTAGAATCATATTGTTTTGCTGCATATAGGACTTGTCTACAGTGCTGAGGCAATATGCCCTGGCCAGGGTGTTCCAAAGTATGCCCCATCCACCTGCTCCCACAGATAGACTTCAAACCCAGAAATAGGCTGAGTAAAGCTGCTTTGCGGCATCTTTAAGGTCTTAATACCTCAGTTTCTGCTTTGCTTGTGTGCGTGTTTAGAGTATGCTTGGAAGCATTGTGGCTGAGGCTGGCTGCCATCATAGTGTAGGCAAGCCCACAATACCTTCATTACACAGAGGGTGGGTAGTCATGACTTCGACTATTGTAATTTTGCAGACAAATAAAAGGTCAAACTTTAGACCTACCAATGCTGACAGAAAAGCATCCCAATACTTTTACATTTCTTTACACCTAAGTATCTCAAGAGTTAATCCAGTGAGTGTCTGTTTAAGGTAGGTCAGATAGAAAAATTGATTTAAGCAGAGGCAGAATTAGCGTATTACTTATGTCTACATAATGTTGTGAGTGGGACTGGGAATAAAGATTCCTGACCCACAGTTCTCTGTTCCATAATCTGGAATATTACCTCTTCTCAAGTGCTTTCCATTTTAGAATAGTCTGAAAGTGAAAATGTATTGTTTAGATAAGTGATAAATCACTCTGTCAATAAAATGCATGGTTTATGACACAGATGGGTTCTTTTGTGAATGCAGACATTTGCTTTTCTGTAACTACAGGAGTTTGGGTTGGCTGTTTTTTGGGAGTAACAGAAGAAAATACCCTTTTTGAATAAGAGAATTATCTAAATCTAAAATCTTTCAAATATGTTATTTTTTGTAAAAATTGAAAATATATCCCACTTAAACAACTTACCTTCCACAGTGTTTTCGTCACTGAGCCTTGGCCTTCTTCCTGAACGATCTGCTACTCTGATGGTCTATGAAGATGTAGTACAGATTGTCTCAGGGTTTCAAGGTATGTTTTTTTTCTAGAGGTTGACGTTAGAATTAAAAAACTGTATTTAAAAAAACAAAAGAATAGATGTCCCGGTCCCTTTCGCTTTGCGGTTAAATTAACCCGTTATGTTAGAATTTCCCTGGATGGTGTAAAGCCAGGTCCATGTCCTATGGCCTCACTTTAATAAATGTTAATTTGATTAATTACTTCACTGATAGCAAAACATTCCTGTCTACTCAGCCAGGGAAATCATGTTAGGAACCTGTTACCAAATCAGTGAGCATTTCAATATACGTGGGCCTATCTCCTTACATTCTTTCTAAATAATTCTCAAAATTCTTTACATTTTGTTATGCTGGCTAGAGAAAGTATTTTCTTTATTTGCTGCTTATTACATCATCTAACATAATTTCACCAATCTTCATTATTCAGTTTCTGTTGCCCTAAATTGTTTATTGCTTATTACTTCCATTTTTTAATCTGAAAAATAAAGCCAGGGCAGGGAGAGCCCTTCACAAGGTCAAAATGCAAGTGAATATAGTGTTGTGACTTCTTAAAGCACTATCGTACATTGATTAATTCAACCACATGTCTGTTACTTGGGTGACATAAATTAACCCTATTTCTAATTTGTTAGAATGAATTGTGCTCAGGTGAGTCTGTTAATGAAGCTCTTAGATGCTCAAAGGAGCTCGCTTTTAAATTAAAGCAAGGGTTTCTGCCTCTCTCTGGGTAACCCTACCTGTGTATAAATTATGCAGTGGGTTTTTTTTAATCTGATTTTATAAATATCATCATCTTGGGCTATAGCAGAAAGTTAATGAACCATGGAGTGTTACTTTCTTTACGTGCCATAATCATGCAAGATGACCTTCTTCTTTTATCTGAAGGAATATTGCTGACATCTTTTTTATGAGTAGAAACCATTCAGACACAATAGGCTTTTCATTAGTGAGAACACTAGATATGACTACAACTGAAAAAGTGCTAAACAAAAAAAAAGATATATATATATATAGAACAGAGCTCTGTCGAAAAGAGCTGTATAACAAATCCAGCAGCAGTACAGTCATTCTGCACTTGGAGAGCTGACATTATGAATCTGATTTTGTAAATTAGTTGGCCTGGAGAAGACACTGAACCACAAGAGGCTCCATCAGATAAACTATGGAATACTGGTTAGAATATTACTTTATTATTGTGGCATATTAAACATTCCTGTTCTACTGAAAGTTTGCTAACATCATACAGTTCACCATACAACTAAAATTTTTCCCCCTGCAAAATCCAGAAGCTAAAAGCTTTGCAACACTCCTTTGGTATTTTCTAAATCAGGAATAAAGTTGACTTGTTAAATGATGTTAATACAAACAGTATCTGCCACAACCCGTCTTGCTCCTATGACTGAATGTACACAGCTACCCCATACTTCCTTTAAATTAGAATGATATATCTGAAGTACAGGAGAGAGGTGTTGTATTATCCAAAATATTACAGACCCTAGGAATTGGCTCTCAACTCTCTCTCATACACAGGAAAAACCATTTACATGATTTATCCTCCCTCTTTATCTTAGGATAACAAGATATTTCCTTCTCTCATACATTCTCCATCCCATAAAATATAAGACCCAACTCCTATATTTGTTACAGTAAAAGAAATGAAGAAAGAAAAACAAAAGAAATCCTAGGCATCCTACCAAGACTTACAAATCCTCCGTCACAGCTCATATGGCTTGATTCTTCTCATACTTATACCAGTTGTATTTACTTCAATTACTTCAGAAGAGTCTGTCAGGATTCACTCCAGTAGAAAAGTGAGAGCAGACCTAGGCTCATTAAAACTCCACACAGACTTGGGAATCCTGGTGTCTAGAGCCCTGATCCCATGGATGGAAGAGCCTACCCTGTGCAACAGTTACCAGTGCCACTGAATAATTGGCAAGGTGTACAAGTAATTATATTTGAGAAGCCTGTCAAAACCAAGTTGGCTGATTCCATTCTCATGGTAACGGTACAGTCCACTCAGATCCACTCAAAGCCATTGTGAGGAGGGAACTTGGCAACCACAGACACATGCAGGCTGTGTAGGGTCAGGTCATCTAGAAAAGGTGAAAAATACCAATTTTTTAACAAGCTGGGTTTAGGACTCAATTAACCAAAGGTAAAGATATCTCTCCTCCAGTAATGCATAAGTAATGCATTTCTTACAGTGACCTCCTTACAAAAGTGCTTGGGGTTGATTGTGCTTCACATGTTTTACACAGACTGAAGCACAATCACTGGCATTATTCCTTGCTGGATTATGCTAAGTTTTGGCTTTGTATTCATATTAAGGAAGGCCACACACCAATTCAAGTGTGGTGCTATAGTTTCAACAGCTTCCCCAGTCTGCCTGTTTCCTTGAGGTGTAAAGGCAATGGCTTCTATTCAGTGTGCTAGCGCATGCAGCAGTAGAGTTAGTCAGTTTGCCGGCATGGGTGTTTGTAAGGTTCAATAGAGCATAGGTTCATTTTAAGAAGAATCACAACTTTACAAGGCCCAGAAACTGATTTCTTTAGTTAAATCTTTCTAAGGTCAAAAAGATACTTCAACAATAAAAAACAGTGAAAACATAAGCTCCCAATGATAAAGTAGCTTACTCACCTTTTATATACTCAGGGTACAGGGAGTTAGTACAGATAAGCAAGCACATTATAAATTTATGCCTTGGTTTATTTCATAGCAATTTCTACATTTAGACCAGTCATGCTTAACCTTTTTGGCTGGTGGGCTAGATGGGCAGTGCCCATACTGTCCATGGGCTGGATCTGGCTGACGGTCCTGATTGGGCATGGGGCAGTTGCAGCAGGGCTCCATCCAAACACACAAAGAGAGCATCCCAGCTCCAACCTGGTCCCACAGGTTAAGGAGGTGAAAGAGGGCTTGAGCCAGACCCAACCCAGCCACACAGGGGGAAAGGGAGCGTGGCCCAGCCCCATCCAGCCCTGTGGGGAGGGGCCTGGCCTGGCCTGATCCAGGTGTTTGGGGGGGGGGGGGGACC